GGATGCCATATTGTTGACGACAGTGCACGATTTGTATACAGAGACTTTGCACCCAGCTGCTGACCCCAAGCCAGCGGCAAACGTGCTCGGCAAATTGAAGTTGACCCTGGAGCACCACTTGCACGTCATTCCACCTAAGTCGCGGAAGGATGGCACATTGCTGCTACGCAATGGATGTAATGTAATGCTGAGAAGGCACTACATATGATCCTTTCTGCAGAGCGTAAACACAAGATAGAGCAAACACCAACAAAGCTGGAAGACCTCACTCTGCCATGCTCACAGCACAATTGATAGCCAGCAACCAAATAATACATGTACAGTAGGTATCGGTTATAGCGTGGGTGTTTGAAAAACGACATTTGATTCTTATTGCCGATATTTCTTACACACGATAAATCACGTGTGACATAATCATATGCACGTGTGACATAATACATGTTTGGCATGTGGACACGTACAATCATGTAGGTCTACACAATCATGATACACACGGATCAGACTCGCGGTCGTGCTGGGCGACTGCGGAGCAGCAGATAGGAGAGAAGTCGGAAGAAAGAGTCCGACTGGACAGAAAAAGTGATTCTCCAATGCTCAGTTGGACATAACTCTCTTTTTGTGTTGAATATTATTGTATTGAGCATGCACAGAGCACAGATGTTATTATTACAGGCGATACATTTTGCACTAATCTGGCATATTTTGCTACACAAAATCCATTCTTAGGGCCGATATATTCTACTCTGCGATAATACTGCTTGTAAGAATAAATATACACATAAAATAGGTGTTATGATTATGAAAAAATGAGTGTTCATTCTTGTAGGCAGTATATTCTTGTATACGACCACACTATAACCGATACGCACTGTACTTCACAAATATGGGAACCCATTTACACCAAGTGCTATTATCGGACAATGCCATTATGCTCCTAGCACGCGGCACAAGAAAATTATAGAGCTTCGCCAGCATTGCCTTGATTTTGTCGTAATGTGATGGTGTGTGCGTGTGTGTGTGGTGTGTGTGTGTGTATGTGTGTGTGAACATGGGAACCCATTTACACCAAGTGCTATTATAGGGCAATGCCATTATGCTCCTAGCACGCGGCACAAGAAAATTATAGAGCTTCGCCGGCATTGCCTTGATTTTGTCGTAATGTGATGGTGTGTGCGTGTGTGCGTGTGTCACTGTGTGTGTGGTGGTGTGTGTGGGTGGTGTGTGTATGTATGTGTGTGTGTGTGTGTGTGTGTGTGTGTGTGTGTGTGTGTGTGTGTGTGTGTGTGTGTGTGTGTGTGTGTGTGTGTGTGTGTGTGTGTGTGTGTGTGTGTGTGTGTGTGTGTGTGTGTGTGTGTGTGTGTGTGTGTGTGTGTGTGTGTGTGTGTGTGTGTGTGTGTGTGTGTGTGTGTGTGTGTGTGTGTGTGTGTGTGTGTGTGTGTGTGTGTGTGTGTGTGTGTGTGTGTGTGTGTGTGTGTGTGTGTGTGTGTGTGTGTGTGTGTGTGTGTGTGTGTGTGTGTGTGTGTGTGTGTGTGTGTGTGTGTGTGTGTGTGTGTGTGTGTGTGTGTGTGTGTACATTACATATTGCCCTATCAAAAATATATAAATAAACTCGGATGGTGAGCCAATGTAATCATGGATAAAAAGAATAAGGACAAAATGTTACGAGTTATGACTAACTGTCCACCATGTACCAATGTCGCTAGATCATATACAGTCGGCGAGCGCGACAAAAAGGCACAAACTGACAGGGAATACTAAGACATACAACGACCAAATAATATTCAAGTTAATTTCGAAATGTCTATAATTTCGTGCCGTCGGATTAACCAAGCATACAACGAAAGGAAAGGTATACACGCTTAGACATATATTATTAGGCAATTATCTGCACCAACCTGCATTCCGGCCGAAGCATCATGTCGGGTGTGGTGGGTCGGCATTCCGACGTATCTCCACACACCAGGAAAATCGTGAAGCGAGAATTCCCTCGTCTGCAACTGGCAAAGTCTTCACTTGACACTCAAGTTGAAATTTCTAGATACCTAGCTAATAGGAGCAGACTTCAGGACATTTGTCGCACTCGGGAATCGTCAGTTCGATCCGTACAGGGTTGGTTAGACACAAGAAATATAGCAAATTTCATTGACTGACATCTTCATCTTTACCAACACAGTTCACCACATAAACTTTCGCGCGAAAAAAATAAAAAGACCCACTCAGCTGGCTTGGCGCATCGACTGCATAAGTCAGGATGCACACAAAAGCTACAAACTCGGAATAAGGGCAGCGCAGACCACGCCGAAACCGCAACTAGAAGATTGACCGCTGACAGGTCAATCAGTGAATGGAAAAGCATGCACCACCGCACGGACGCGCACTCACTAAACTACAAAAAAACAGTGCGTTTTTTTATAATAGACTCTGAAAACCTTGAGAACGTACTCAAGGACACTTTTGAGAAAATGTCATGCGAGTTGCGTCACGAAAATCTGCGCGCGAAATTCGAAAAACCAGGTGTGACTCGTGGCATTTCGCCATCTTGTTCAGAGTGTCCTTCGAGCTCCTTGCCTCGTAGCCGGAGGAATCATTTTGTTGCTGACTGCTCTGTGGCCCTATTTTGCTTTTTCTCGAGTGTCTTTTCGTTCGTGGCAACTTGTTCTCTCGACATGCCACATAATTATAACAAAACGCGAACGGGCCATGGTACATGGTGGTGTCTGTTTTACAATTTTTTGCGAAGACGAGGAGAACAATGGCTGGGCATCGAATTGGTCCCAAGTATTCCATTCGTCATGCTGCTGTTGCGTGTGGCGTCAGCATTTCCACCATGAACAGATGTACCAGGGATGCTGACGGCGAAAATCAGCGTGCTGCGTTGGCCTTGTCTGTCTCCAGTGATCAAAGCAACGAGAGTGACAATCCCCGATGTGAGACTCGTGCCATGAAACCACTCAACCCTGACGGATTTGCTTTGGACTGTATAAGAAGTAATTTACGGATTCTATGCTGCGAAGGAGGACCCAACACTGGACAAAGTTCCTGCTCGCTGCAGAGAAACCATCGACGATTTTCCAGACATGAGCAAAACTAGCTCTTGGAAAATGTTGCGTTCCATGGGATTCCAGTGTGGCAAGACCACAGGTATCACACAAATAATGATGGAACAGCACAGGATTGTGTCATGGCGGCATCGCTACCTAGTACCTGTGAGACATACCTGGATGAGACGTGGGTCAATGCGCGTCACACAGTTACTAGGAGGTGGTTCGACAATGGTGACAGGAGTGTATAGGCAAGCAACCAAATGAAGCACCATCAGGTAAAGGCAAGCGCGTTATTGTTCTGCATACTGGTGGACGGGACAGATTCGTGAAAAACTGTGCCGATGTGTTCGTGACTGGAGGCCGGCGCCAACGATGATATACGTCGTCGGCTGTCCGAGCACATCTGTTCACTGTGTAATACTGTCGTCACAAGTGCAACACAAAACACGGAATTATTGGGGCCGTTTCGTTCCTCGCTGGTCTACTATTCGCAGATGTTGAACCAGACACAACTGTGACCTATTTGCATTGTGTGTGTGTGTGTGTTTGTGTGTTTGTAAAACTGCTCATGCTTCCTTTTTGTTAGTCTCTTTATGGGAGCTGTGTGAATTGCCTTTGTGATTTGTTGTGGTGTTTGAATTTTCACTGCATTCTTTCAGGGATCGAGGGAAGTTTCCTACATGCATGCTGGAATGTTTTGATGTATTGAGCTAATTGCAATACAGGATTTGAATTATTCAGTACAGTTTGCCACAATAAGTCGTGAAAAGCCACGGACTCACTGGTTTACTACAAAGGTTAGGAGAACTGCAGACAGCAGTGCACAACTGCACAGCCATATGGCCATGTGCATGTACATGCATGCGCTGTACTACAGTATACCGAAAAAGAAAAGAAAAAAAAGAATCAAGATGAACTGTACTGGATTCGAACTCATGCCGGGCACCATGCAAGTGATGAGCTTTCCTGGCTAAAACTTCCGTTTAAAAAATCAAAATCCACTGAAAACCATTTAAAACCGGATTTCCAGCCGAAACCCGGCCGAATATCTAACTTTGACAATTATTATTATTCCGACTCCCAAACTTAATTTTCTTCGATCCAAGACCCACACAAACGCAGCTGTGAAGAAAAAATTTCAAATTTGGAATGAGAACAAACTAAAAAATCAAAATCGACAATGGTCTGTTATAAAAAAACGCACTGTACAACCAATACACGGAAAATGGCATCACGCAGAAGGTATACCAAGCAGAGCATGCACAAGTAACAATACAGTTCCAGCCAGTGGCTGCCACGTTACCATAAACTACAACAAGCTGCACCGGATACAGCGACCATCTGCCTTGCGCAACCGGCGACCGGCATTTAGTGCACCAAGTGCCATACTGGATCTGCACACAGCGACTAAAATTAGCCAAGTGGCTGGTAGGGTTGACTGCAACAGGGCTGAAATGCGCTCCGAAGCAAATGCATGGAGTCAACAGAAGTGACAAGTGACAGTGCAGGATGCGCTGCATGCACTTGAGTGAGGTGTGCTTTTCCTGCACAAAAGTATTCTACCCTCCACACCTGTCAATATGAGTACATGGAAGTACAATTATGCACAGGTATGTACACGATCCGATATGCCACGATTGTACAGGACCTGGTTCTAAAGGCCACCTGGCTTCAATGACCGCTTGCACCGTGGGGTGGTCGACTGTACACTGTGCTTGCGAGCCCGGTGCTTGCGATCCCGGTGCATGTGAGCCCAGCGTGCGCAAACAAACTCAAACTGGCCAGTTCCAAGTGCCCAACACCTGTGTGTATACTTCATATTGCAACTCTGTGTGACAATGTGAGCATTTTGACAGATATTTTTGGGTTCAAATAATCAGGGTTACACCTGTGTAAGATAAGTCTTCTAATATGTACGTGAAAGGAGTATTCCAGCTTTGGCAGTTGAAAGCATACCTGACAAAGAGAAATATCTCCTTGTTGAACTTCGATAGCAACTCCCTCTGGAGTGGTCAAGCCCTTTCCATTCGGCGAGAGCTTGCAGATACGTGTAGGCTGCGCTGCCTTCTGGGGCAAGAAGTATGCTGCCGCCATTTTCACTTTGTTGAAGATCCCTGGGTTCTCAGGTGCCGCTCTTGACTTTTTTCGTGACTTTGGCTTGGGCCGCTGGTGTGATGGTGGCTCATTCAGCATTTCCTGGGCAGCCATGTCTGTACCTTCGCAGCACTGGGCCAATTCTGAACTCAGTAGTTCAAGTATTTCGGGCCTGAGGTCAATGAACACAACCTTCTTCAAACGGCAAGCTGGGTTTTCACTCAGCCATGACACCGTGGCATTGGCCAGCTCACTGGCACAGATCTCGTCTGGAAAGCCGAAAATCAATGAGGAGATTGCGGGCACGGCTACAGTGTCCAGGTCTTGGGACTCCTGTAGGACGTTCTGCATGCATTCAGCAAGCTGCGATCGGCACTTCTGCTGCCGATGAGGGTCCCATCTGGGCCCCACGGCGTGTAGCAAGACCTTGCAGGGTAGACGACCAACAGTTCTTGTGCGATACACAGCGGATACGGACAACTGGCCTTGCCGAACATGGCGAGATGAATCTCGTTGAATATCCGGACCACCGGCCCGGCATATGGCCGCTGCCACTCCTGCACCATGTTGAAGGCGTTCATTGCATACATTTGTCATGGCCGAGCAGTGGAACTTGGTGATATCACCTTTGTACACCAATAGTTGCTTTCCTGCCGGCAGACTGTACGTCGCCATAAGTTGGGCGCTTCCTTGGTTGCGTTTGGACAAGCCATTGGGCACTTCGTCAGCCTCGCCATCGTCTGAGGATTCCTCTTCACTTTCCATCTCGGCTTCACTCCGGGACATGATGTCAACGTCCACATTGGAGTTCCTCCCCTCGTCTATAACCTGCGCTTTGTACTCGGCGTTGTTCAGATGGTCCTTTAAGCCCGGCATTGCCATTGGAAACTTCTGCACATGGTACCGTGCAGCCAAAGTTTTGAGCTCGGCGTGAGCTGCCTCAACATCTTCACTTGGTCCTTTGAGCTCAATACGGTTGTTGCGGTCAGCAAAGTGAACTGTAGACGATTTAGCTTTCAGTGTCTCTAGCTGTTCGCCATAGTGTTCCTTCATGAATTGAAACTGGGACGCACGCAGTTTAAACACCACCGTCTGTCGTCCCCTTGATTCAAGAATGACCCTGACCTCTTCTTCACATTCGGAAACGGCGCTCTTTTCACCACAGATGTGAATAGTTGATGTGCGTTTATCAGTGCGTACTTGAAACAATCTAGCTTTCAACTCTGCTCTGGATTCCAGAATGGTGGACTTGAGATCAAGACGATTAACTGCTGTCAGTTCACTCTTGTCCATGTCGATCTCAGTGAATGTGAGGGACGCATTAAGGTCGTCCGCAGCTTGGTAATATTCATCCTCATCAGCTTCATGGTAGAGAACTTCCACTTTTGTTCGCTGACTTTGCCCTTTGGTAGCTCTCAAGCGGCACTTCGTTCCTTCGAGATACTGCCTGATGTAGTCTAAACCAGCTTCAGAGCGCATTAGTTGACGAACATCTTCATTATCAAACGTCAATACCGTCATCTTTACATCCTTGATAGCCTGCTTGAGCTGGTTTGAAGCATCGGTCACTCTCTTTTCTTGGCCCGAGATGGTGAGTTTGAATATGCCTGGTTTGGTCTCTTCTTCCACAATGCTTTCCACCCGTGTTGCGGTCTGAATATTCTCTATGCATCCAGCCATCTTCAGCAGCTCCAGCACATCTTCTTTGACGTTGCCAATGTCGCTCGTTCCTTTTTTGGTCGTGCTCTTTGCTTGTTTGGCGAGTAGTGATACAAACTGAGATGCGTCAGTTTCCACACTGAACACATGCAGGCATGCCTCCTCTGCGTTCGCAACCACTTCAGTGTTGTGTGGCTGCATTGTTTCGGAACACCAGTCCAGTAGCATGTCATGGTATTCGACTGGTACAGCCACTTTGGCCTCCTGGACCAGCTTGAAGGCGTGTACTAAAGCCGCGTTGACAGCCTCTACCCAGTGTGTGATGTATAGCGCTTTGCTTCCAGGCCGCACCACAATGTGATCTCCATTGATGGTGAACTCTGCATGGATATCATGAAGTTCCTTGACCAGCATTTCCTTGAATGGTTTGCAGGACTTCAGGAATGCAGCCTTTGTGTTAGGTATAGGCTGTTCCACCTTCTCAGGCATGCTGCTCAGTCGCATCCTTCTCTCGTCATCTTCACGAGCAGGGAAATGGAAACCCTCAAACTGTTCCGAACATTGAAGTTGATTGCCGGACATGGCAGAGCTGGTCTTGGCAGTTTTTGCAGCTGAACATTACACACACACACACACACACACACACACACACACACACACACACACACACACACACACACACACACACAAACACACACACACACACACACACATACACACACACACACACACACACACATACGCACACACACACACACACACACACACACACACAAACACACACACACACACACATACACACACACACACACACACACACACACACACACACACATACGCACACACACACACACACACACACACACACACACACACACACACACACACACACACACACAAACAGAGAAACACCAGTGAATAGAAAATTAATACCAGTAGAGAGATATCCCCTTTAGTAAACTAAAGAAGTCCTGAAATATCCCAGAGAGCTTCACATACTAATATGGTCTAAAGCCACGTTGTAGCGGCTCAATAGCACATTACAGATGTGTGTGTGTGTGTGTGTGTGTGTGTGTGTGTGTGTGTGTGTTTGTGTGTGTGTGTAATTTTATTTTTTTATTTGTTTACTAAGTACACAACCTACTCGTCAGAAGGGGAGAAGACAACAGAGTATACAATGACAAAACAGCAGGGAGAGTAGGGGCTGCAAAGCAAGCCTGTGCTGGTGAGGGAAGCCCACAACACCGACCTATGGTCTCGGCGTTAACGTGAGCTTGCGCACCATAGCCTAAAAGAAGGGGGTGATTTAGCGATAAAGACAAGAGAAGGTTAGGTAGAATGGATGAGGAGAAAGAGAGAGAGAGAGAGAGAGAGAGAGAGAGAGAGAGAGAGAGAGAGAGAGAGAGAGAGAGAGAGAGCGAGCGAGAGAGAGAGCGAGCGAGCGAGAGAGCGAGAGAGAGAGAGAGCGAGAGAGCGAGAGAGAGAGAGAGAGAGAGAGAGAGAGAGAGAGAGATAGAGAGAGAGAGAGAGAGCGAGAGAGAGAGAGAGAGAGAGAGAGAGAGAGAGAGAGAGAGAGAGAGAGAGAGAGAGAGAGAGAGAGAGAGAGAGAGAGAGAGAGAGAGAGAGAGAGAGAGAGAGAGAGAGAGAGAGAGAGAGAGAGAGAGAGAGAGAGAGAGAGAGAGAGAGAGAGAGAGAGAGAGAGGGGGGGGGAGTGGTGGGGTGGAGAGAGAACAAGAAGAGAGAGAGAGAGAGAGAGAGAGAGAGAGAGAGAGAGAGAGGGGGGGGGGGGTGGTGGGGTGGAGAGAGAACAAGAAGAGAGAGAGAGAGAGAGAGAGAGGTGATAGTATGTATGTACATACGTGTGTGAGTGTGTGACTGTGCATATTATATACATACATGCATGAGGGCAGAATCAACTGACCGTCAGTGTGCAAAGATTCCAGAAAGGAAATGGCATAAATGCCTAAGATTGCCAGCCACTTATTGCATTATCTCACCTGCTGGGTCATCATAGGTAACTCTGACGCTATCTCGCGATTGCTTAGTCACAGCCACTGGCTTTGATGGCCTGAGCAACTCCCAAGCATAAGACTCAACCTCGTCACGCTCGCCCGGGAACTTCGCGTACAGGGAGCATGGTGACTTGACTCTGCGAACTCGCAAATAGCGCCGTCCAACTTCGTCGAATGGCGAGTCTGCGCAGCTGGATTCAATGAGGTCGAAATCTAAACACAACATAGCAGACAAGAGCAGACAGTATTATAGTATTGTATGCTCAAATCCAAATACCTGCATGCAACGCATTGCATACTTATAAATTTATAAAATCTCACATAAGAAACGAGCATCGTCAGCATGAAAATTGACACTACCCGATCAGTGAAGGTTTAGTCCCATCCCATTCCCAATGACATTTACGTTTACTTCCCCCGCAGTTTCCTGCTTTGAATCATAGGCTATGCCATTGATAAGGCACAGGGAAAGAACCAGCCCTCAAGAATTGTTCAGGCAGATATGCAAAATATCACAAACAGGGGTAGTAGCTGAGGAAGTACGGCAACCCGCATCACTAAGTTGGCCCTCTCCCAAGCTGACCTTGTCCTGCCAGGCTCTGTGTTCTCAATCCTGGTGTTGGCCAGCCCCACTGTGTATGTTACCAGGGTCACAGCAACAATTAGTTGCCAACCTTGCAACTCCTGATGTCGTGCATGGTAATTAAATTTTATTCAGGGTAGCAATCAACCACCCTCCAGTAGTGAACACCTAACCGGTAAACTGGCTGCTACTTACACAGCTGCAGCACTGCTGGAAAGTCACATACATGGGCCAAACTCATGCAGGCAGGGATACTCACCAATTGGTACTCTGAACCGGAAAAGGGCACGGTCAAATCGGAACTCAGGCGGTGGATGGATGTCAGATGGTTTGATACCAGCCATTCCAGCCATGTAGAACTTCAGCTTGCCTTGCTCCAAGCTGATGCCACCTGGTATGTCAAGAACAAGCAGATGATCGTCCATGTATTCAGTGGTCGCAGATGTTGACTTGGTCTGTTCAGTGACAGCCTGCTCCTCGCAAGGTACTACTTGCCCCGCTGTCTCATTGGTTGGCGCCAGGATGGATTGCATTGCTTCCAGTGAGAATGGCCGCACAGTGAGAATGTTGTCGGTGATACGATGCTCTCGATCGACCAGGGACGCAGCCACTGGAGAAGGGCACAGAAGACAGAGGAAAAGGAAATGCTATTCTGCCGCAACCATTCATGCCAGCATGGAGCAGTTCTTTTGTAGCTGTGTTACGAAAACACTGCCACTAGCTTGACACACACACACACACACACACACACACACACACACACACACACACACACACACACACACACACACACACACACACATCAATTGAACACGTGATGTGTGCAGGAGTGCAATGTCTGCTCTAGGATTTCAAACCAGCCGGGTACATGTGTACCTGGCACAACTCTCGCAACCGGGTCAGAGCTGGGTATGTTCAAGTGCGGCTACTGAACATAACTGGGGAGTCAGAATTATCTTACGACTCCCTGATTGTGTCCCAACCGGTTCACAACTGACCGGTGTTCTTTTTCCAAGCAGGTCCAAGTACCCCCCCCCCTCCCCCAACCAGGTCACTGACCCAGCTGACCTGGCTCTGGAGCAGACACTGGAGCGCCAGTATTCCATGCATTTCGTGAACAACGGCCAATGTTAGAATCACACAGTGCAGTTTGAGAATTCTCAAAATGGGCAAAAAAGTTCAAGATTTTGGAAATCTGTTGCACGTTTGGAGGATCCGAATAACTCCAGCCGCATGTTTCCGGAACCTACTGTGCTCACGAGGATATGGTTGGGAGTGCATGGAAGGTACTGCACTTGCAGTGGAACCTCGGAATTCCGACTGCCTTTCGGACATGGCAGAGTGGTCTGATCTGTGAAGAATGATCTTCCTGTACTTGTGCTAGTGGAGGAAAATTCAGGACCGAGCAAAAGAGGTCAGACTGACGAGGTGGTCAGTTTATGGAGGTGATCGGAAAGCAAAGTTGCACTGAAGCTCTTTCAACATTAAAATTTTATCCCTTGCCTTGGGACGGTCCGGCTTCAATGGATTCTTGGTGCAGCAGAAACTGTCCTCATATGACAGGATACCGCTTGATCCAGGGATGCATGTTCGATATACAGCAATTTGGTGCATGACAATTTGTCGGGATTCCGCTTGGCACAGGATCCGGTAAACACAGGTTTTACTGTTAATATCATCACTGAGCATGTGTAGGTTATTATTATTATTATAGACAACACCTCATGGCATGAAAAGAAAATCAGCCAGTACGGGAGATGTGGGTGTTAACCAACCATGGTGAATAAAAGAAGAAAAGAAGAAAAGTAATGGTCAAGACAGAGAAGCATGGAAGGGACAGGTGATGGTGAATCTAGTGAGCAGATTTAAATGCGTCCAGGGTACTGGCATTGCGCATAGTAGCGGGCAGCGCAAGCCAAGCAGAGTAGGCAACAAAGAGTGGAGAGTGTACAAGGGAGGACATTTTAGCCAAGGGGAGGGCAACAGAGCATCTTGTCTGGGAGCCATCTGTGATTCGGAACCAGTTATACACGCTAAGATGAGGAGGATGTAGAGCTAGTTTAAATTTGTGAGCAAAAGTGCAAATTAATTTTTGACGGTGGGTCGACAGTGGGCAAGCATTTACAAGGACATACAGGGAAGTACTAGGTAGAAGAGTAGAGAGGGGGTAGACTAAACAGGATACGAAGAAGTTTTCTATGGTGGATTTCGAGACGCTCAGCGAGAACCGAGGACAAGCCACACCAGCTAACAGCAGCGTACATGAAAAGAGGCAGGATGTACAGTTTGTGAAACAAAATTTTGCATTTGACAGGAAGATGGAAACAATGGGGACGTATAACACCTAGGGCAGAGCTTGAACGGCTGCAAAGAGCATCAATATGGTAAGACCAAGAGAGGCGATCATCAAGCATTATTCCCAGGTGTTCATGGTTGGAAACAACCTTTATGGGTTCTGGGAAATCAGGATGGTGTAAAAGTGACATGGATGAGATTGGGGGAAGGAACATTATTTCGGTTTTAGTCAGGTTGGGTCTAAGTCGCCATGTTTGCATCCAGCGTAGGACACTGCATATCTGAGCCGACACTCGAGGTACAAGAGCCGCTGATGACGAGGATGCTGACAGTAGGGTTGTATCATCAGCAAATAACGAGACACCTGGGTCTATAGAGGGTAAATCATTTACGTGTGCTACGAATAGAAGAGGTCCAAGTATGGAGCCTTGGGGAACTCCAGAAGACACTGGTAGGGGATCAGAGTTGATGGAGAGGACAGAAACAAACTGTGACCGGCTACTCAGATAGGACTCCAGCCAGGACAGAGCAGGGCCAGACACACCAAAGACAATATGTAGCTTGGCAAGGAGGCCACGATGCCAGACAGTATCAAAGGCCTTTACCAAGTCAAAGAAACAGAGAGCAATATGGTGTCGAGCATCACGAAGGGTGGCAATGTCTTGTACTAGACGAGCTAGTTAGTCAGAGGTTGAGTCGTTGCGCCGAAAACCAGATTGGGAAGGGCTAAGGCATGCTGAAATGTGGCAATACAACTGGTCGTAAAATAGCTTTTCACATACTTTTGAAAGGGAGCAGAGAAGAGATATTGGACGATAGTTTGAGGCTTGTGATCGGGAGACTTTACACTTGTAGATGGGCGTGACCTTAGCGATCTTCCAACGATCAGGAAATACGCCGGAGGAGTAGGAAAGGTTGAATATAAGGCACAGTGGGTACGCCAGAGATGGAGCCAGAACTTTGAGAACTTCATTTGGTAGGGCATCAGGACCAGGGCTTTTGTTGCTTGTTAGTCTTTTTAGGTAGCTGCGAACAGATGATGTGGTGGTATGTATAGAGCGCAGATCAGAAGACACAGTCGCAGAACGTTGCAGAGGTGGTATTGGAGAGGAATGGTCGTCTGGAATACCAGCTGATGTGAATTGCGTATTGAGAGTATTAGCTACAGACTTGGGGTCAGTCACCATCGAACCATTGGAAGCTAATAACGGAGGTATGTCTTGACGTGTACTAGTTGTCCTTTGAGTGCGAACAAAGGTATACAGGTTAGGCCTGGAAGAGGGGTGAGATAGGGTGGTAGCCTGAGTGAGCGAACGTAAATATGCTCGATACTTAAAACATGGCATTGACTTCACCAGATTGCGCTGTTTTTTGTATAAAGAAATATTAGCATAGGTGGAGTACTTCTTACTTAAGCTGTAGTAGTCGTATTTGAGTTTAATTGCACCTTGGCGATCTTTGTCAAGCCAAGGGATCTTGGGGTTACGGCTGGACTGACGAGGGTGGTGGCTGCCATGTTTGGGTGTAGCGGGTCTTCCTCCGTATTGTGGCACATAGAAGGAGAGCACGTCATCAAGAACTGTGGTGAACTTCTCCACAGCTTCGTCAACAGTAGTGGAGGTGAATAAAAGATGCCAGTCACAGGCAAAAAGTTCAGAGTTGATGATTGACCAAGTCGAGGGTGTAACCTTGCGGAAGGCATGTCGCGGAGGGGCAGGAGTCTGAGAGCTGTTGTAAGAGGTCTTAGCAGTGGCAATGTTGTAGGCTAGCGTTGTAATGACTTGCAAATGATCCGATGCAGCAAGCGGGGCAGCATCGTCAACAGAGCGTACAGAGGGGGCGGTTCGTAGCAAGCAAGTCCAGACAGGACAGTCTTCCATTCGGAGCGACACAGGTGGGGAAATTGAGAAGCTGCTGGAGGCCAAAGCTAGAGAACACGTGTGATAGCTCCGTACCAGCACGCGATGTGGTGTCACCACTCCACCAGTCAGAATTGTGGGCATTGTAGTCACCGGTAAGAAAAACATCAAATAAAGAGAGGTCCAAGGAACACAGCGTGTCGCCAAGTATGTCGCAAAAGGAGGTGAGATCAAGAAGGGATTGTGAAGGAGGGGGGGGGGGCGGTAATGACAGCAAATGAGTAGCGGATTGGCCCGGAGACCTGCAGGTGCACCAAGCTCAACCCATAAGGCCTCGCTTTGGGGAGAATCAAGCAGCATTTATTTCCTAGTCTTGAACTCTATTGTATCAGCAATACTCAGCCACTGCAAAATAATCGCAAACAGCAGCTTTGCATTTTGATCCACAGAATTCGCCTAGGTAAAATTCCCATTCATCTCTCCGTATTCACTTGGTTTTCTCTGTCCCGGTCCACTCGTAATAGTCTCTCACTTCCTCGTGCTAATTCAGCCGCATTTACCAACTCTCCTCTGTTTTTGTCCTACAGCTTTTGGCTGCAACTTCCTCAGCATGTTAAGATATCAAAATGTCTTTCCAGCTTTAAAAATGCAGTCCGATCGCATAATGTAGTACGATAGTACGATAGGATCTCCTTGCTGGATTCTTGTCTATCCTTCTTTCTTCCCTTTTCTTTATTCCTTTCTTTACTTTTCTTTTCTTGCTGTGGTTGGCTATCAACCCTCTCTCGCACTTTGCGTGCCAATTGGTCATGGACCACGAGTTGAGTGCCATAAATAAATAAACGAGAGAGCTTGGAAGCTCAGGGCCCTGCGCTATGCTTTTATGCTTTTTTGCCTAGCTCATCGTACATGTTATAAGAACTGATGGGAATGTCTTTTTCGTTGATTGGCCACATCACTGTATTGCGAAAACGTTTCAATCGGTTTGCTTATGAGTTAGGCAAAAGTATTTGCAGAATTTATTGCGGATTGTTATTTCTCTAATAATCATCTACTTTTGTTTTGCTCCTTCTTTTCTTTTTATCTCCTTATATTGTAAATCTACAAATTTTGGCCGATGAGAAATAGAAACCTCTCTATTAGAGAGGTTAAGATGCACGTTATTTCCGACGTGACGCGCAGTTTCACGTCAAATTTGAAATCGATCGGTATTTTTGCTCTCACATGCATCCATTGCTCAATCATGCATCATTTGCCTAAATAACAAACGTTGGCCTGCGATTTACTTTGGCCGGTTGGTACTGTTGTCTAATCCTCCTCACTACTGTACTCCACAAACCACCATTACCGTCGCTCACACAAACCAGTGCACCAAGCGACCAGGTAGGAGAAACAAAGTTAAGTTAAGATATTTACAAGAAGATTACAACAAGAAAAGAACCAAGAACCACGATCG